GTTCGGGAAGGTGGGGGTGTCGGTTCCTGAACGTCCGGGGGTACGGGGTGTGTTTGCTGAGGTAGAGGCTACGAAGTGGTGGAGGCTTGCAGTGGGGTTCCGGAGTTCAGTGAGGTGGGGGTTGCTTCGGTGGTGCGGGGGTAGGCTAGCTGGGCGGGGTCGGCGGGCTCGGTAATGGCGGTGCATGCGGTTGGGCTGGGCGGATGGCGGAGGCCATGGAGCAGGTGTTTTATTTTTATTTTTTTTGTGGTGGGACCCCCAGCGCTCCCGGCGTGTACAGCGATGTGCCCGCAGCCACGAGCGCGCCCCCCGTTGTTCGATTTCCCGCGGAACGGCGACGACGTTCAACGGGGATTCAACGGACATTCAACGGCGTTGAATCCGTTCAATGGTCTTTTGACGGCCGTTCAACGGGTTCAACGGGGATACAACGGCGAGGTCAATGACAAACACTTTTTTTTGTGTCCACGCCAACATGCCCGCGGGCCCGACGGCTGTTGCGAGCGGTCCGTTGAACGGTGTTCAACGGGAAGGCCCCGTTGATTTGTTCAACGGGGTTTCAACGGGGCCCCCAGCGCTGATCAACGGGTACAACGGCGTTGAAAAAATCTCGTTGCCTGTTGAATGGACACACAGTCCATTTGTACCCCAGGTGGAGCACCTCACCCGGTGGGTCCGCCACATTGGTATCGGAGCGGGATCGATCCTTGATCCCGCCCACCCACCCTAGTCATCCCGCTGTCCGGTCGTGGACGGCACTGTACTTTCCCGGTTGGGAAAGTAGGGCAGAAGATCTGCCCGCCATCATTACAGGCACCACGGAGCTGCAGCAGATGAAAAGCAGCATCTTGTAGGCCGACTGCAATCATTGCGGGCAACAGAAGTTCTTGGCCGCTTGTGCAAGAGGGTCGAAGCAGCAAGCTCCGACAGCCTCACTGGCGGCGCTGTGAAATTTTGGCTGCGAAAATTTTCGTTTTTTGCGTAATGGTGATCATGCACTTTGCGGCACGTTGGGTTTGAACCCGGGCAAACGGCGGCGTCGGACGTTACGAGGCGGTGTGATAACCACTGCGCCACTTGGGGCAGGTGGCTGGAACGGACAATAGGAGTTTTTTGCACCCCCCCCCCCTTGTCGACGAGTTCGGAAGGAGTCTTGTGCCCCCTCCCCTCGTCGACGAGTTCGGAAGTGCAGCTGGAGGTGGGGGTAGGGTCTGTTTCGGGGCCGAGTTTCAAGGTTCCGCTTATTGGAAGTATCGTGGTGAAAGATTTCATGCCCCCACGTTTCGGCGGGTTTGGAGGCTAGGCTAGAGCGGGGGTAGGATGAGTTTCCAGTGTTGTTTGTGGCTTGAAGACCCCTTAATAAGGGGCTGATCTACACTGGTGAGGGTCTGCTCACACAACACACCCTGGTGCTGCAGTGCTGCTGCGAGGGGCTGATCAAGCTGGCTTGCTGCCGCAAAACCCTCCTATTCTTGGTATAACTTGTGTCCTTGGAGATACCAAGGGTCAGGTATCACTTCCCTCTTCCATCTCTCCACTATTCCACTTTCTCTACCTCCTCTCTCTCCTCTTACTCACCCCACTGACTTCCTTCTAATCACTCTCACTACTCATACCCCTCTCCCCACCCCACCTTTTCTCCCACCACCCACTATTCTTCTCTATTTTATTCATTTATTTTCTTTTTTTTCTCTCTTCTCTCTACTTTTTGATCCCTCTCTACCTTTCTCATCCCTTTCTCTCCCTTTCTCCCTCCCTCCTCTCCCCCAACTACAACCCCATCACTCCCCCCATCTCCCCCTTTACTCTTTTTCTCTCTCACCTATTTTTCTCTTTTCTGCTTAACTTTTTCATCCCCCTTCCCCCCAACTTCAATTTTTTTTTATTTTTTTTTTTCCATTTTTTTTAAATTTATATTTGCTCTTTTTTCCCAAAAAATTGAATTATCTTATTCCCCACCCTCTTTTCTCATTTTCTGATTTATTTCATTTTTTTTTTATTTATTCTAAAAATTCGAATTTCTTTGCGGCACCCTTAAATCCAATTAGGTGTTAGTTAATAGTCATTCTTGCTTCGAAACACATTTTGACCCCGTAAGGGTAACGAAGTGCTGCCGAAATTTTCCCATTTTACTTAGCCTTACTTCTTGACGGCGCACTTCGACCCCATGGGGGTAACGAAATGCTGCCGAAATTTTTAAGAAATCCTACACTTAATTTCTCTTCACATCCTCATCTACTTATTTATTTATTTATTTTTCTATTTTTTTATTTATTATTTATTTATTTATTTTTATAAAATTTTTAATTTGCAGTTTTTATCTTGGTATCTTCCTTCCTTTGGCGCATTCTTGACCCCATGGGGGGCAAGGAAATGCAGCCGAAAATCCCCAAAAAATAAATATTATTTCTCTCCTCACATTTTATTTCCTTATTTCATTAATTATTTTTATTATTTATTTATTTTCTTATTTATTTTTATTTTTCTCGCAAATTTCACTATTTATTTATTTTTCTCCCGCCTTCCCCCCATGCTTGCTATTTTATTTTCTTCATTAGG